AGAGAGAGAGAGAGAGAGAGAGAGAGAGAGAGAGAGAGAGAGAGAGAGAGAGAGAGACTGCATCAACAGCAATGCACAGGTGAGCCTAAAAACCACGCCGACCACCCCAAACCCAGCCCTAAACCAACAAAGTCCCCGCCCACCCTCATTTTTAAAACTATTCCCTTCATTATTTGCGGGCGAAGCCACAACTGGTACCCTTGTCCGATCTGAAAATCTCACAGCACAGTGTGACTGCACTGAAAAATCAAAACCAGTATTAAACCAGAACTAGACATCCCCAAGTTGAACTGATGATAGCTCAAGACCGTCGCCCTCCCCCACTCACAGAAAAAGGACTATACAGGCCTTGCCACGCCACTCACAGCAGGCCAAAGAGCAAAAAATATGGCTCTGTATCTGAGTGGGGATCCGGGCCGCCCGGTTGACCGACAGGCGCCTGGGGGAGGTCCCAGGCGGCCTGGCTGGGCCGGGCAGCCGGTTGGGAGCCGCCCCCCCCAGCGCACTTACCTGTCGGTGTGTGTGTATTGTGTGTGTGTGTGTGTGTGTGTGTGTGTGTGTGTGTGTGTGTGTGTGTGTGTGTGTGTGTGTGTGTGTGTGTGTGTGTTTTAGATTTTCCCAACAACAGCCCCAATTGCACAGAGATGAATAGATTCAGAATTTCATAATCAAAGCGGTCTTTGTCCTATTGCAGACAACGAGAGCATTTGAGATGTCCAAAATGTTAAAGCAATTTTATAATTATACAGTCTTTGTGTCCGTCCTTCATCTTCATACCTCCGTTCGGGAGTGGAGGGGAGGGTGGAGGGTGAGGGATAGAAGGCGGAGTTCTATAGGAGTATTGGGCAGGGGCAATAGGGGCAATGAGAAGGAAAGAAATATGTGGAGGGAAGGATAGAGTATGGCATGCAAAGATCAGGGAAGAGGTGTATGACGAGCTTCACAGATTTCTAAATATTCACCGCTGAAACAGACTACTCTAGCAAAAAAAAACCTATGGCAAGTGGCCACCCCTACAGACCGGACAGGACCGGTTCGGGTGTGGGCTATGGAAGCACCGCATCCAATTTTCGCAGTCACAGTTGCTGCATCCAATGGCACGGAGCAGACAGATGTCACAGGCAACATGGCTCGTACATGCTAGGAACACAGAGGCACGTCGACCGCAATTATAGAGGCATTGCCGTTCCAGCCTGTCTACAAATTGGACATGACATGTCGGGTTGCCGTACATGAGTGCAGTACTGACTGTCATCGTACGTATGGAAGCAAAAACTCACATGGACTATCCCTTAACATGTGTGTGTGTGTGTGTGCGTGTTTGTGTGCGTGTGTGTGTTAGGTTTTCCCCACAACAACCCCAATTCCACCCAGGTGAATAGATTCAGAATCAAAGCAGTCTTTGTCCTATTGCAGACAACGAGAGCATTTGAGATGTCTAAAATGTTAAAGCAATTTTATAATTAGACAGTTTTCTGGTTGTCCTTGGGGTACCCCTTTCATTGTTTGCAGCTCCCCTTTTACTGTGCCTCTTACGCACAAGGCTGCCCACGTTGATTGTGGTTGAGCGGCAGCTGCCCACATCCCCGTGTGCCTTCACGGCCCACTTGCAAGTTATTTCAGGAGGCAGAGTAAAAGGGAAGGTATGCTCCTGTGCATCTCTTCAGAGCTCCAAAGTTCATACTCCTGTTCATTTCACTTCAGATCTTCAGCTTATACAGTCTTCGCGTCCGTCCTTCATCTTCATACTTCAGTTCATTTCATTTCTGATCTTCATATCATCTATTCTCTTAATGATGCTCATTCGTACGTATTTGTTAGTAGTACAAAGGCAGTGGAGGGGAGGGTGAAGGGTAAGGGATAGAAGGCGGAGTTCTCTAGGAGTATGGGCCAGGGTAGGTAGGGGCAAAGGGAAGGAAAGAAATATGTGGAGGGCAGGATAGAGTATGACATGTAAAAAGCAGGGGAGAGGTGTATGACAGGTTTCACAGATTTCTAAACATTCACCACTGAAACAGACTACTTAATAATAATAAAAATAAATAAATAAATAAATAAATCCGGTGTGGCTATGGAAGCACCACATCCAATTTTCGCAGTCACAGTTGCTGCATTGAATGGCACGGCGCAGACAGATGTCACAGGCTACGTGGCTCGTACATGCTAGGAACACAGAGGCACGTCGACCGCAATTATAGAGGCATTGCCGTTCCAGCCCGTCTACAAATTGGACGTGACATGTCGGGGTGCCGTACATGAGTACAGTACTGACTGTCATCGTACATATGGAAGCACAAACTCGCATGGACTATACCTTCATAATCCTCATGGCAAAAGGCATGCTAACCACATGCTAGTTGAATCTCCGGTGGGTCATCACAAAACGGCATGGAGCATCTTTTATGGGCTTCCTCAGTATGTATTCCTTTATGGGCAGCCGACGACAAGGAGGATCGGTCCAACGTCAAGGGCGTCCACCTGCTGCAGGATATGATGGGCAGCCGACGACAAGGAGGATCGGTCCAACGTCAAGGGCGTCCAGCTGCTGCAGGATATAATCCATAACAGCTCGCCCTGGTGGTGATAAACTATGAGCACATCACTCTGCCGGTGGTTCATATAGAAGTCTATTTTCCTCCTCGGACTGCTGTGTTCGTCATTCGTCTGGCAAGCAAGAGGGAGATCCGTCAGCGGTTGCCGTAGGTGTATGACCAATACCGCATGTGGGACATGGTAGGAGAGGATGTGGAGGGTGATGGCACCAGGGGTAGTCCATGCAGTAAAGACACATACTTTCTATGACAGCTTCCTGGACGCATTGACGACACATGGCATGTTGCTGACATGTCATTAGTATGGAAGGCTGACGTGCACAGTTATTTAAGCATGGCAGATCAAGGCCACAACGGCATGCTGGGCAAGTAGTCAGGGGGTGGGGGGGATGAGCACAAGACAGGGGATCACAATTTTCGTGTGAGAGGCTAGCCGCGACCATCCCTTCATAGTGTTCGGAGCAGAGGCTATGTCGCGTACATGCCAACCAAACTGCACCTGTGCGACGACACAACGGGAGGGCACAACCATCATCCTGTGGAGAGGTCCTTTCACTGTTTGTGGTAGAATCAGCCGGATTGCTCTTTAGGGGGTGCAGTGCTTGCCAATGCTCATCGACATGATGGACGAGCCAGACTGCGTGACCCTCCAGCATTTGGTGATAGAAAGAGTTAATATTTCCCACTGTTTGCACCTTACCGCCATTGTCCCATAGGGTACATGAATTATCTGCAAAGGTAAGAGCACTGAAGTGACCTGGACGATATAAGATATATGCCCGAATATTCGGCTCGTGTGTGCGTGTGTGTGTGTGTGTGTGTGTATGTGTGTGC